AATTCACAATTGAATTTTTCTAAACAATTTTGTACAATTGGAAAATAATGTAAGTGTTGAAATGTGCATATGGTAATTAGAAATTGGATACTGCTGCTGAAAACTTCTGCATATGAAGTAATTTAATGTTCCTAATATATGCTGTTTAGTAGTGGGAACTTACAAATCTTGTTTTCAACACTTAACCGTTTAATTCAGGGGTCTCAAACTCAAATTGGTTTGGGGCCATTGCAACCCTCAAGTACTACAAAAAAGCACAATCATTTAAAAATATTTCCATTACTAAAATCATACTATACAAAAAAAAACAATCAGCAGATTCTATAAATTTAATGTCACCTGTGTTGTTGCAACAAATGAAGCCTGAAACCTGCTCTCTTATCAACTGTTTCCACACCAAGCCATTATCTTGCACCAGAATTGTTTTCATTTTAATTGTGTATAAAGACATAAAAAAAACCTAGAAAATTTTTTTAGAATAAACAATATTGTTGGTTATATTATATTTTTGACATCATGATATAGTATAATTAAATTGAATGTAATGTAATGTATATTAACTTTTAAATCAGTGGCTCCTTCCTTAAAGGACCCATTTTCTATCACTGAGTAAACTGACGACCCTGACTATTCACCCCCAAATGAACTCAATAACTGCTGGGTTTTGAATTTTGAGCAGATTATTTCCTGTAAATTTTGCATCAGAGATGATTTTTAGGACCCTTTTTAACAATTCTATGTTATATTTTTTGTTTTTTAATAATCTTAAATACTTCATAGGTTTCTTTTTTGGAAAATTCAGTGTTTCCTTCTCCCTGATGCTTTGCCATTGCTCTATTATAGCTCTTTGGCTGTTTTAACTGCATACTTTTGTAATGCAGGACAAGTCTGTTTAGTAGAGAGTGGAGACTAAGAATATAGCTTGTGTTCATGTCATCAACATTTAGATCTAAAATAATCAACATTTTAAAATAACAATTTTATTTACTTTTCTTCACAGAAGTAAACAAAATGCTGAGATATAGTAATAATGTGTATGTTTTCTTCACCCCTTGGAATCAAAAAGGCGTCATGACTTTGACATATTGTTTAATGTCTTAAATGCCTCTGGAGGGAACCTTTTAAAAATCTGAGTGAATTAATAAACCTCCATGCCCCAAAATGGTCTTTTATTTTTCAGGAGGTGGAGTGTGGTGTGAATGCACAGAGGAGAATGTGCAAATTGAAGGAGGTAATTACAAATTGACCAAGAAGCTGG